ATTTTCAAAATTCCGATTGGTTTCGAGCTTCAGAATTGCTTGGAATCTACTATTCATCAGCGTTTCAGAAATCTTTTGTATCCTTTGTATATTAAGTATCTTCCGACTGGTTCCGAGCTTGGGGATGATTCATAAGTTACTGTTCAATTGTGTTTCTGAATTTATATTTTATTTATTTATGTTTTTTTTTTAGAAAAACAAAGTTCACAAAAATATTTTCTTTATTTCTGTTTTATCTTTTTTAGAAAATAAAAAATTTACAAAAATATTTTCTTTTATTTTTTGTGTGAATGCGTTCTTTTCTCAGGTTCAAATTCTTTATTACCTCAATTCAGAATGATAGGGTAGGTATAATTTTGAATTTATGTACTAGCTAAGTGTCCCTAGAAGCATACTATTGCATGTTGACCCAAGCCTCTTAGACTCTATGTTTGAAGCCTTAATGAAACTTTCATTCAGATTGTTTCTTCCCAATCAGGCTATAAATTCACATAATTCATCGAGCTACCTTACTCTTCTCACCTTGAGTTAGTAGTTGACTTCTTTGTCATCTATTTATAGTAGAGGTACAAATTCTTCTTCGGAACCAATCTCAAATTTCTCCATCAACTTTGATGGGTTTTGAGCATAACAACATCTTATGTGATCATGCAACCCTAATTTCTTTGGATTTAAGTTTTTCTTTAGTTATACATGTAAATAGAAGCTCCAAAGCAATAACCCTAATATTAGAATACAATTTTCGAGATCAATATGAAAACTAGGGTTAGAACATTACCTTTCTTGTTATCTCGTAATAACAAGGATTCGATAAATGCTCTTGACTCTTGAAAGCTTTAGTGCCCTATGTGATACACCTCTAATGGAAGCACAAACACCAAAAGAAAAGGATGAGTGAGAGAGGAGTAGAACACAAAAATTTTTGGCTAGGGTTTCTCTTAGAATGCATAGGCCAAAAATCGTATGTCAATGGATCTTTATATAGTTGTGGCTGCTAGGGTTTTCAGATGGAAGCCCTAATCCTTGCTTAGGCACCAAGTAACCCATGGACACACCTTCTAGAAGGCTTTGGATGATTTCTATAGGGCCTCCTATAGATTTCGTCCAACCCATTCCAAAGGAGTCCAACAGTCTAGTTTGCAACTATCAAAGATTTGCAAAACCAGTCCCCATACTTTTAATCAGTTCCTTAAGCCCAACATTAATATCAAATTAATTTTGATTAAATACTAATTAAATAATATGATTTCCAATTAATATATTATTCTTATAATTTATTAATAAATCATTAAATAATCTCTCTCTCCAAAAGCCACCATATCAAGTTGCTATGGTGAAGGCAACCCAAAAGAACCATGCCACTATGAAATAAAGTAAATATCAATTATAGTCATGGGCCTAGACAGTTAATCCAACAAACTTCGCATACATAAAATGTAACCCTTGAGACTCTCAACAATTACCACTGAGGTTTATGCTTACACAACATCTGTGTTGATGATCTTGAAATCGTTATTAACATGATTTTGAGTGAGACCAAAATCCGACCATATCTGAATTGACGGTGAACAATTAAATGTTCAACAATTTTCACCAGTTAATTGACAACTAAAACCTTTTTGGTTTGTACCATTATCGTGTGAAATCTCATTATTCTTGTTGAGTGGTCTTAATGAAATGTTCTACACCTACGACATTTCTTTCCACCAAGATCCATTTTTTTTAGATTATAGCCACTTAAATTATATCCAAACCTTACTTGTTCTTATGGCTAAACTGGTCAAGCAAGTACTTTTTCCATATTTTTGGATGTATGTTGAGTTTTGGAATTTGGTTGAAGTTTAAACCATCCTTGCATCCTTTCATTATTTCTTAACAAATAGATGATCGTAATTCAACGGGATACCACACAAGAATTTCCAAGTCTCTCTTGACATTACAGAATCCCACAAATATAATTTGATTTACTTCTTGTTCTTTGGCACACTCCTGCACAAAAATCTATATGATTTTTCAAAGTATGGTTCTAATTTCGATTGATTAGCTGTACTTTAGAAAATAGGTCATGGTTGATTGGCTTATTAGCTCTAATGGATAAAATCTAAAACATCGGTTTATTGGTGGAAAGAATTTAAATCAGGCGTATCTTTTCAAATCCCCGACATCATGCATGTCTGTTACACGACACCTGACACATGATGAATTGTTACGCTATCCCAAGCTATTTTAACAGGATGTGGGAGGTCAAGCGGTGGTTTTCTATCTCCACTCATCACATGACATATATAAGGGTTTTTGATGGTTTGTTTTCTCTCACCACTCACACAATTTACAAAACAAAAACCCTTTTTTTCCTTTATACTATTTGTTGTCTTCCTTAGAGCTACAATGGCAGGAGCATTTGATACCACTTCATTCGTTGATCAATCAACATATATCGCCATATTGAACATCAAGACAAGTCAAAATCTCATACTCAATCTTGACTCTTCTCGTTACCAAGAACTCCTAAGGTTGATGATTGAATGCTTAAGGCTTTCACTCTGTTTCAAGCTCGAACCATGGTAAAATCTATTCCTCTAGTCGATCTTTCCAAGGCCTATTCTTTTACCACCTACATTCAAGCTGATGGGATCATTACCTTTGAGGTAGCCTCTAACAATATCTAGATCAACAAAGCCCGTTTCTATAGAATTCGAGGGCTTATTTCATCTGAAGGACTTGTCGATCCAGAATCAATTTCCACTACTACTGTCGTTGAGATGTTTCACCATATAGGGTACATTGGTGATATATCCCTCGTGTCAAAGTTCAAGAATCCCTTTCTTCCTCTAATTTGGAACGGGCTCTTCACTCTTCTATTCAAGAGTTTTTCTGAACGAGTTGCTGGATCTGACATCACAAATAAGATTTTCTACACCATTATCTATGGTCTGTACCATGGAATGAATCTTGATTATGGGTTGATTTTTTGGACCCAACTTCTTCAGAGTAATGCTTCCCCCACTCACAATATCGAGATATCATGTGCTCGATTTTGGTCCTTATTAGTCAAATGAGCCCTAAACCACTACAAGGTTCAATTGATGATTGATTCTGTTGTAGCTTCAATTTTGATTCTTTAGATTTCAACCTTCATGATGTTTGATGCAAGAAAGTTCACTTTTGTGGGTTCAATTCGGAAGAAATGTTGGGAAAAGTCCCTTCTGATAATACGATTGTGAACGAGTATCGCAAGCAACCTATATTTGGTGTTCGACCCATGCTAGATGAACTAAGAAATACTATCGAGGAAGAAAACAAACCAAATAGGGGAGGAAAGAGAAAAGTGAAAGATGTCCCTTTTGAAGTGGTGAAAACTATGAAGAAGGTCAAAAGGCAGGGAAGGAAACCAAGATCTCCATCTCCAGTTGTTCAAGAGGCATCGAAATCCAGAACTCATACTGACATTCAAGATGAAGCTATTGTTCAGCACGAGGTAGACGACACAACAACAACTTTAGAACCAACTACAACTAAACCAATTCCGAAGGTATCCACTCTACCTACATCTTCTACTCCCTTTTCTAATTTCTTTCAAAACACTCTAACATCGTCTCCGATTACCACTACCATTCCTATTACATCCATTCCTTCACTACCACCAAAGATTTATGTGGGAGTTTCTATTATATAGATCTTCATTCCTCTTTCTAGACCTATTTTTACTGATTGCACTTTCCCTCCTATGTCTACAATCACAAGTACACTAGAAGTCGTTGTTACCAAGTCCATTTCAGAGGAGGTACACACTTCAAGTATTCATGTTAATGTATCTGATACGGGGATAGATACCAACATTGGTGTACCTAAGGAACATGATACATCTACAACTTCTCCCACCTTCGATTCCAATCCTGATATTCTCTTTAGGGATGATCTAGAAAACTTCACAGACTTTGTTTTCAGCCCTTTCACCATCAACCAAACCAGTGGTGATGATGAAGCCCCAATGACAAGTGGGAAATTTAATCATCCTAATGAGTAGTTGGATTCTTTATTAGAGTCTTCCAAATCCTCATCTAACTATGAGTACATGCTGAAATCTGAACAGGCTACCATAAAGATGCTAACAAAGGAAAATGCGAAAGTCTTTGAAGAATCAACCAAGGCAATTCAAGCTTTAGAGAAAACAATTTCAAAAACGACCAAAAAAGTTGAAAAACTACACCAAAATGTTACATCATTTATGGCTGAGTTCAGAACCTCAGCTGACTCAAACACCAAATCCATGAACAAAGTCATTAAATGTTTTCGGTCTTACTTGTAGTCTGAAAAGGAGGCTCTTTCCCTTGTCCATTCCAAGATCAAGCAAGATAACACCTAACTGAATGCATTTGTTGTCTCGAAGATTGAACAACATCAGCAAGACATCGTTGCATAAAATAATATCATGGATAAATTTGTTGTAAATATGGAGAAAGCCAAAGTTGTTTCAGTAAAGCTGCGTTCTACAAACAAGCATCTTGATGATTTGGAATCTGATAGGACACTGGTTAAAAGTTGTGTTTCTGAGATTAATCGATATCTTCTCAGACTTGTGGAGACTCGTGACTTTTTACTCACAGTCTCAGTTTGACAACCTTAAGTGAGTCTTTGTGATGCTGAATCAGATTGAGGGTGTTTCGGGTAACGATACTGTTCTGAAACAAAGGGGAGACAAAGCAGATACTGACAAACCCCACAAGGAAGAACCCAATGAAAAACATGAACAAAAACCAAAGATTAATCCTTGGAAGGGTAATGAAGCTTCTGCATCAAGTAAAGGCAAAGAGAAAGTATTCGATGAAGAAGAAGATAATGAAGATCTTTCTGAAGGCAAAAAGCCTGTGATAAAGAAGCGTGATATTGAACTCGATGAGCTTTCGCATATTCGAAAAGAGTTAGAAGAATAAGAAAAAGAAGCCAAAATTACTAAAGTTACTCTTGAAACTTAGAAGTCACTATTTCTTCCTTGGACGATGGAACGAATTCACAGGGAAACTATTGATGATCAAAACATCCACTGGATTGAGCCTTTGGTTTCTTTTGAACAAAGTAATATGGAAAATTCTCAACTTGATTTTCCAATCATTCCTAAGGCTTTTTTGTTTCGTTTCTTTGAGAAGATTGAGAACGCTCCACTCTCTGACTATGATGTTAATCATATGCTCTTCTCTTTCTATCTTAAATATGCCAAGCCTCAATTCAAGGCATGGAATTTACAGAAGATTGTTGCTTTGAAGGTTTATGCACGTATTCCGACTGAAGACTTCATAAACATTAGGTTTAAAGGATTCCCAGGAGCAAGTCGTACCAAAGATGAATTCAATCTGGTAGATTCACCATGCATGATTCCATATGACTGGATTACACTATTCTTGATTGTGTCTAAAGATGAAAAGACTTATGAGCCAATTGTTTCACACCTGAAGAGGATGCTTATTTGCTATATTCATGAACCTGCTAAAATGGATGTAGAAATAGGATATATTCTGAAGAAAAGGCCGATTCTGAAGCATCAAGAAGAACTGGAGGACCTCCATAAGCTCAAGCTAGGTAAAATCAGAAAGGAAAATTAGTGTATGGTGTACCAACGGAAGGAAGGTCAGAAAGTTCCGAGAAGCATGTTTTTCTTAAGAGACAAACACTTATACTCCACTGCTGCTCTGAACTCCATCCTTGGATTAATTGAATCTTGTAAAGCATTGTTGATCAAAAATGTTTCTCAGATATGATCAACTGGTACCTTGGTGCCAGAAATACCCTTCTGAATTTGATGCTGAAATTGTTCAAGGTACAGAAAAGACAATAATGATGTTCTCCTTCAGTATTTAACAAAAAGGGGGAGATTGTTGGGTTTTAAATGTATAGTTTCAAATGTAGTTGCTAGTATAGTCTTATTTACAGGTGTAACATTCGGATTCCCAGGTATATTATTCTAATATTTTATTTTTGGAGTTTGTGAAGGAACTCGACGAGTTGATGCTTAGACTCGCCGAGTAGGGTCGCGGATTATCATCCGGGTTCGCGATTGGACTCGTCGAGTCCATTAGTAGACTCGGCGAGTCCATGCTATTTAATGAAACCCTAATCCCCCAGGTTTGGAGCCCATTTAAGGGCACTCATAGTATCCCATTGTGGCTACCAGTCCCTTGAGAGAACCCTAAGTGAGCAAAATCGTTTGGGAGGAAGGAGAAGCTATAATTGATGTTTCTATCTTTGGTTTAGCAAGAAGAAGGTGATTAAGAGCAAGAGGAGACTGAAGGAGGTGCCATTCTAGTGGTTTCAGAGTCAAAAGACTTCATCTTGAGGTATTTATTCAGACCTTTTTCAGTTTTGGTGTTGATTCTTAGAGTAAGGGTTTTCTAACCTTTTTTGAGGATGGTTATGTGGAGCAAATGGTCCCTTCTCGAGTTTATGCTTTGGATCTGGACTCAAAAAGGTCGAGAGACCTTAAGCCTTGGAGCCTTATGAGTTATCTTGGGAGTCATGAGCTTAGAATGTCATTGTTGGGGCTAAATCACCAAACGAGACCATCTAGATGATATATGAGTATCAAGGTTTGGACTTTAGGTGATTATTATGCTTGGGAAGGCTAGATCTATGGATTAGAGGAGCAGATCTGACCTCAGGAGGTTAATGGAGTTTGTGCATGGCACGTATTCGGCGAGCTGTTCTTAAGACTCTGCGAGTTGAGTTGGGGTGGCCCTGCGATTCATGCCTGGGGACTCGTCGGGTAAAGGGAGGGACTCGACACGTCAAACGGGACTAAAGAGTTAGTGGACACATGTGGACTCGCCGAGTTGCCCAAGTGCACTCGACGAGTCTGGTCAAAGTTTTACCGTTGACTTTGGTTGACTTTTAGGGTTTGGTCAACAATATCGGCTTCTAAGCCAAAGAAGGGGTAAAATGGTCTTTAACCCTTCTGAGGGTGCCTAGAGAGGGTTGAGTCTAGTTCTTAGAGTTATATTTATGAGAGTATTAGTTTATGTGTTTAGGCGGAGGCCAGATTGTATTTCGACCGAGTCAGTGATTTACCGAGACATCTGAGGTGAGTCTTCGCACTATACTTTACCTTTAGTGGTAATTAGAGTTATGTGACAGAGTTATTGTATGCTGTTATGTGATGTGTTGTACTGCATTATTTCTATGTGGTTTATGTCATGAGTATATCAGAGTATATCAGAGTTAGAATCGGAAGGCTCACAGAGTCAGGACCAGAGGGTCCACAGAGTTAGGGCCCACGGGCCCATAGAGTTATAGCCTCAAGTGGCTAGTATGTGTTATGTATGGTCTTTTGGGGAACTCACTAAGCTTTATGCTTACAATGTTATGTGTTATGTGTTGTAGGTACCAGTGATGATCGCGGGAAGGCGCCAGCATGATTCGTACACACACATGGTTTTTTTTTTTTTTTTTTTTTTTTATTTTTTATTTTGATCTTGGGAAATACTCGTGAAACAAATTTATGATACAATGGGATTTTATCGATAAATGTGTTTGGGAAAGTGTGGTTAAAATTTTGAAAACTTTGTTTTAAATTTTACAGTGTTACAATTTGGTATCAGAGCCTTGGTTTGAGGGATTCGGATGCATCTTCGGGCGTATGTGAACTCAAACTGAGGATTTGAGGAATTTTTTTTGATAATAAAGTAAATTTTTATAAGGAGTAAAAAGAGTTTTGAGACAAACAGAGCAGAGTTGTGTGTACGATCAGCCAGCGCCCGAACGGTGATTTCCCAAAATACCCTTACAATAAGTTTTAAAGAAACGTTATGCTATGCTATATGATGAATTATATTATGCATGCTAGAATAAGACTACGTATTCTTATTAGGACTAGAGTGGCCTGATATATGATGCCTTAGTCTAGGGGTTCTGGGAGGAGGACTTGGTGTGAATGCTGAGTCGGTGTGGTCGGTAGTATTAGGCCCATACTATCGAGGGCACCGGGTCAGTGCGCAACCAAAGTAAGAAACCTTAGGGTACCAGAGATCAAGTAGGGTTGGGATATCGAGTGTGTGTACATCCGAGCAAATTACTGATATCTTGTGTTGTATTTTCAGAGAGGCATCATGGTAGGGACACGTCACAGACCAGGCATCATGGTGTGAGCGACGAGGAGCTCCACCAGATGATTCATGATGAGGTGGCTGTTGCCATCCGCGATGAGATTCCAGAGATGTTCGGGTCTATTAAGACCACTCTGATAGAGACATTCGATGAGAGATACGCTGCTCTTTCTGAGGTTGCTATTGCTACGACCACTGCAGCTGTAGCTGCGACTAGATCGCAGGGTGGTGATGCGTTGCTGTTCCAGGAGTTCAGCAACACAAAACCACCGGAGTTTGATGGGACCAAGGATCCGATTGCAGCAATGAGGTGGATATCAGACATAGAGGGATGTTTCTTTACTTGCTCGTTTCCAGAGCATTTGAGGGTCCGGTTCGCGCTGAACCAACTTCGCTTGGGAGGAAGGATTGGTGGAAGTTTGTGACGGCGCATTATTCGCCTGCTGAGCTTGCTGTAGTGACTTGGGAGAGGTCCAATGCTATGTTCCAAGATGAGTACGTTACCCAGGTGGAAAAGGAGCGTTTGAGCCAGGAGTTTTTGACCCTCAAGCAGGGTACTGATTCTGTTACGGTGATTACGAGGAAGTTCCATGAGCGGGCGATGTTTTTCCCAAAGCATGTGTCCTCCGAGCAGGCACGTATGAGCCGCTACCTAAGCATTTTGAGGAGGAATATACGGGAGTTCGTGGCGAACTCGACGTATCGGACATTTGTTGAGCTTCAGGAAAATGCCCGGAAGAGGGAGATAGAGTTGGAGACCCAGGCTAGGGAGGAGGCTGAGTCTCAGACGAGGGATCGACGACCAGAAAAGTCTCAGCCGGCAGCCAAGTGGGCCAAGCCTGTTGATTCGCGATCTGGGAGTCAGAACGGCTGCACTTGTGGCAAGTGTGGAAAGAGCCACGAGGCGGTGTGCAGAGCGGGGTCTTGCTACAAATGTGGTAAGGAGGGGCATATGGCCAAGGATTACCCTAAGGGGGTTTCAATATGCTTTCACTACAACCAGACTGGACACCGTAAAGCAGAGTGTCCACAATTACAAGGGATTACCCAGGGAGCACCTCAGGGATCTGCCCCTGCTGCTATCAGAGCTACTGAGAGCCGGCCAGTTAAGGTTGAGGTACTGAAGGCGCGAGGGAGAGCCTTCCAGTTGACTGCGGAGGAGGTCCGTGCAACGCCCGATGTCATGGCTGGTATGTATCCTTTCATATATTTAATTTTATGTTGAGATATTGTGCTTATATTATGATATGCGTAGGTACTTTTCTTGTGAATTATGTATCTACATTGGTGTTATTTGACTCGGGTGCGAGTCGGTCTTTTGTATCTTTGGCTTTTATTCAGCACATCAGTATTAGTCAAGACGTGATGAGTCGACCTCTGAGAGTTTCCATAGCTGACGAGAGATCGGTGTATTCCACCGAGGTGATCCGAGGATGTGTAGTTGAGATTTTCGGCGTCAAGTTCCCGATTGTGGGCATGGACTGGTTGAGCAACTTTGGGGCGGTTATCGACTGTGAGGGATAGCTGGTGACCATACGAGACCCTAGTGCGGGAGTTCTTACCGTATACGATGAGGGTATGCATTCTGGGTCGGCATTTTGTTTAGCTGCTAGAGTAAGGTAGAGTCTACAGCGGGGCTGTAAGGGATTTGTAGCATATGTGATGGATAAGAGGGTTGATTCAGAGAGACCGAGGTCAGTTGATGAGGTTCTGATAGTGCGTGAGTTCCCGGATGTATTTCCGAAAGAGTTACCAGGTGTGCCTCCCGAGAGGCAGGTTGAGTTCAACATTGATTTGGTTCCGGGAACTACGCCTATCGCCAAGGCACCTTATCGCCTTGCGCCTCCAGAGATGCAGGAGTTATCCTCGCAGCTTCAGGAGCTGTTGGGGAAGGGGTTTATTCGGCCGAGCAGTTCGCCATGGGGAGCGCCTATCCTTTTTTTTAAGAAGAAAGATGGCTCGCACCGAATGTGCACTGATTACAAGGAATTCAACAAGTTGACGGTCAAGAACCATTACCCATTGCCGAGGATCGATGATTTGTTCGATCAGTTACAGGGAGCATCTTGGTTCTCCAAGATTGATTTGAGGTCGGGATATCATCAGGTGAGGGTGTGCGATGAGGACATCCAGAAGACAGCGTTCAATACTCGTTACGGGTATTACGTGTTTGTGGTGATGCCTTTCGGGCTCACCAACGGCGGTGTTCATGGACCTCATGAACAGAGTATGTAGGCCGATGTTGGATCGCTCGGTGATCATGTTAATTGATGACATATTGGTGTATTCGAGATCCAAGGAATAGCATGAGGATCATATGAGAGAGATCCTCGGAGTTTTGAGATCGGAGAGGCTTTACGCCAAATTCTCCAAGTGTGATTTTTGGTTACGAGAGGTCTAGTTCCTAGGGAATCTCGTTAACCAGAAAGGGATATTGGTCGATCTGGCTAAGATCGAGGCGGTGATGAGGTGGGAGGTGCCGAGGTTACCTACAGAGATAAGGAGTT